TTATGAGCAGGATTTCTTATGCTCTGACAATAAGACACCTTCATCATTTTCAAGTGATGTAATTATGAACATGGATGCCTATAATTTCAGACATACGGACAAACATTCCTTGAAGGTGACAAATTCCTCTCACCCGTTGGAAGTTTTGGTTCTATCTTCAATGCTGCAGGTCGTGTGTCGTGGGGATACTTTGGCGATAAGGTGTCCTTCAAGGTAAAATGATCATTTTAAGAATAATAGGTTCAAATCAATAATACAATACATATCACACTATCATTGTGAGCAAATGATGTCCTTTTTCAGCTGGCGATACTTGTTTTTTTGTACGTTCATTTTTCTGTTCTGCTATGTGCCTCCAGACAGCCATTTTGTGTCTCTGTGCGCTATTCACAGGGCTCATGTCCACCTTCAACCTGACAAAACTTGCCGACGGGAAGGCTCTTTCTGCATCTACGTCTGCCTCACATTCGGCACCTTCTCCGGCAACAACTCCCTCATCCCAACTGCAACCGCCAAGACCTTTGGACAGCAGTATTTCATAGAGACGTATGGGATGTTGTTTTCGTCACAGGTCAGTTGCCAGGCATAAAATGAGGCCCTAAATATAGACATATTTTGGAAAGTACTGTACATCAGAAAAGATCAAGTAAACATAATATACCTGATAATGAAATATTTTCAGACAATATTTAATATTTAATATATATATATACACACCTTAGGAAACTTTTGATGAATAACCTGCAACGTTCGGAACAAAAAGTGAAAACAACATTTCAATTATCATAAAAATATATATCTGAGAAACGTTACGATTCGGACGATATCATATCAAGATATCAAATCATCAGTATATCTCAAAGCATAAGTTAAACGTCTATTGGTCAAATTACCATAATTTGATTTTGTCAGTATGAGCAGAAATGCAGATTCAAATGCATAACTAGAGTCTTCAGAAGATGACAAATCTCCCCGTTTTTTGAGCTATCAAAACAATTCCATGAAATTGGGATTCGGGACTAGTATGTTATGTTGTTTTTTAAAAGATAAGATTTAGTGGATGTTACAAAATTGGTACTTGGCTTATGCTGCAATCTGTTATCATTAGTTACTGAAGCTCACCTGTCACTTTAAACTTGCATATTGCATTTCCATCCTGACACTTTAGTTACCTTCACTGCTAACCAGCTATCCAGACATTCAAAAGAATTAGTAAATCATCTAAAAAACATTTGATAACCCGATCAGTTTCATGAACGAATACTTATTTTGTTTAAACATGGGATCCAGATAAACAAACCGCTTACAGCCAAGCTGATTACTATATCCAAATGGGCTTACCGAGGGTATATAAAAGCTGATCAGCAAAAAAGGGAACACAGATGGTGCCCATGGAGATGCCTACGTCTGGGTCAAATGTCTAACCCCGATAGATTTCGATTGATGTTACCCATGTTATCAACACCAGCATTTCACAACAGTTTTCAGTAAACTTTAGATGACATCTGCTTTAATCTGGGACAATTGTCCCGAACCTCTGAAGGTAGATAGGTGTATCCAAGAGCACCATGACAGCTGGCCGGCACAGAATGGGATTATTCCCATTATTCTGATTATTTACTGGCTGTCTTAATACATATTGCTGTCTGAAAAACAACAACTTCCTTGCACTATGTATATGAATGCAAGGCCCGTGGGGAATTTCCCATTCCTGACAATTTGTCAAATATCAATGTTTAGAATGAATGGTTATTGCCCCGTCTCAACGTATTTACGTACAGGCAACGGATAACAACATCAATAACGCGATGTACGTGTAGGCTCTATATTCATAAGTGCACCTCATTGTCTGTATAATGTAATACTTTTTCGTTTCAGTGAAATGTTGATGCTATACCGTATGCACGTTTGCAGAGTGACTGTTAAATGTATAGCAGCATACACCATCATATCAATCACACAGGCTTACACATGTTTCTTTCGACAGATGGTCATTGCTCCTGTCGGAGCGCTGCTTACGTCTCATCTTGCCGACTTGATTGGTTGGTATGGGCTCTTCCTTTTATCCGCAGTATGTTCTGCCTGCAGTAAGTTTGTAGATCATTCTAATTTGCTTGCTAATTTATTTTGACACTGAAAATTATAGCTCACCAGCAGATGACTGTCATTATCAAATGGATGGCACAATGTCATGTTGTCAGTGGGGTGTATCCTGTTTTTTATGTTGTTATATTTATGTATAGTTTGTAGTAATAATATAATGTGTTTGTTTTGTTGTTTAACGCCGCACTCAGCAACATTCCAGCTGTATGACGGCGGTCTGTAAACAGATCGAGTGTGGACCAGACAATCCAGTGATTGACATCACGAGCATCAATCCACGTAATTGGGATACGATGACATGCATCAACCAAGTCAGCGAGCCTGACACCCAAACCCGTTTGTCGCCTCTTACGACCTTTTACGCCAAGCATGGGTTGCTGATGACCTATTCTACCCCGGTTCTTCACGGGTCAGTAATAATGTGAAACATATGTATACCTTGTATACTGTATCCTACATGTGGTTGGATAAGATTTTATTAAGTACAACATATTCGTCAATGATTCCATGAAAATAAGTTTTATTCTAATACAGAATGTATTGCTTCCCTTTAATTTATTTTTTGTAGGTTTCGTATTAATGTTTTTCTTCAACAAGAAGATCCGAATGGAAAAGACGTGTAATATAAAATCACGGGTCTATGTAAACTGATGGTGAAATGACTAATTGGACCATAAAAAAGGTATCAGTTTCCTTGTGTGTGTACCTTCCACCTTAATCCAAACTATATTTCGCGCTTAAGGGTAGACTTTTGACATCTAAAGCCCATCATTCATTATGTATGCTGAGGCACATAAACATTGAATGTAAACTGATCTGGAGAGTGCTCTATCGTAACGTTACTGTATTGTGAAAGAAAACTTATACATTAAACCAATTCCAATATACAACTATATTCTGGCAATCCCTGCCTATTTCACCATGTGCAACAATATTAGGACGTTATTCTAAAAAGGAGTCTTTCCTTACAGAATCGGTCACTGCTTTGACTGCTGTCCAAGAATCATCAATGGTTATGCATCTCTCAACAAAATAAGCTGGGTTTGCTTAAAAACGACGCTAATTCCAACGAGAGATGATGAATGTTTTTTTATCAGAAGTCAGAAGCCTTGGAAACCAGTTTGCTGAAACTTTGGTCATACCCACTTCATTACCCAGAATGCTATCAGCGACTTTATTGGCCATTTGGCGTGTGGTGAATCCATAAAAAATTGTGTTTTCAAGAATTTCCTTGCTGATCGGAGTTTAGTCAGTTTAAATACTGATTACAGTCGCCAATTCGGGAAGCCGTCGTCGACAATTCTCTTAATTCGTTCAGTCATCCTAATTTATATTATAAAACATCATCTCCAGAGAATAACCAATGTCTACTATACGTCAAATCAAAATACGTCAAAGACAAAATAGCAATGAAGATTATATGAATCGATCACTAAGAGTGAGTGAGTGAGTGAGTGAGTGAGTTGGGTTTAACGCCGCTTTTAACAGTATTACAGTTATATCGCGGCTTGTCAGCTTATTGTGGGAGGGTAGCCCGAAGTTATGCAGGTCTCAGACGTTAACCACTTTGGTGAAACCCGCGAGCACAAGTATGGTGCTGACAAACCTAGAAACATAATCGGGGCGGACCGGGATTCGAACCCACAATCATAGGTTTCTGGCGTGCCCAAGGGACGCTACTCTGCACAGCGAATCGCGGCGCCTTAGACGACTGGGCCACCCGAAGTGATGCAGGTCTCAGACGTTTACCACTTCGTTGAAATCCACGAGCACGGGTATGGTGCTGACGCCATGCAAACTAATGTTTGACCGACCAAAGTGGCATACTTCTTTATTGTAAAAGCTAGTGTATTGCTGATCACATAATTTGTAACAAAAATTTCAACTGTGGCTTATTTGTTTAACGGCCGAATGGTAACTGATGGTGCCCCGTTTCTCTCTGTATATACGCTCCCTTTTTTGTACATTTTTCAATTGCGATTTATATGTCCCGTAAATATTGGGAAGAGGGCTACCTTAGTTGTGAAAATATTGTGCCTTTCCTCGTGAATATAATTTGTTTGAATCAAGTTAACCCTGTTTCAGTATTTGTGGTTTAAACCCTAATCCATTACAAAAATAGTTTACCAAAGAAAATCAGAAAATGCAAAGTTAAAAGGCTTACCACATAAATCATTCACTTCAATCAACATATACTTGCATCAGGTTAACGACAGGGCTGTGGCACTAGTATCCATAGTCAGACAGATGAGTAACACTTTGATTAAATCAGTGAATGTGCCCTTTCACTTTTTTCTGAACATGCATTGCACATCTCGAGGGAAATCTGTGTTAGAGTATGTCGCCAGCAACCTATGCATGTCATGAAAATCGATTTTTTAAATTTGTGATCAGGCTCAGTTACTTAGTTGAAAGGGTGTGATCGTAGACAGAAGAAATATCACAATATCAATCACTTTATTATTTAGAGGCCACATCCAAAAAGAATATTGCTGCTTTAAACATGAAAAGGGAAAAGCGAAATCCTACATGAACGACTGGACGTATTGCATATGCTTTAGACGTACAAGGTCTTCATTATCTTAAATTATCAGTACCACGACCAGTGAGTCATACTATTATAATAATAGCAAGTCAGTCTATGTCACTATCTGTTCGTGTAACATTGTAACAACAACTTTTTTATGGCCAATAACTTGTAATCTCCTACCGAGACCGTAATATCAACACCTTTCTGAAAACTCAGTTGCTTTTCCCACCGATATAAATTGAGTGATTTATCCTTCAGATATTTTCATTACTTTAGGTCTCTTAATGTATGTTGGTCTTGGAACGTTGTTATATCACTACGAGATGTTGACATGAGAGGGAACCCATACTGTGACACAAGAGCAGGAATGGTTCTTACATCCAAGCATTATCGTGGCAATCTAGGGATTCCTACAGACCATCATCGGATCCTGGTAGCTAATGAACAGAACTCGGGCCATGCTAACCTAGTATACCACTTAGCATGCTAATCAACATTCTCAAAACTTATCGTCACAGCGTGATACGCAACGTATCATTATCTGTATAAGCTAATGTATCTTAACTACCATTGGATATACTGAAAGCTGAAAACAATATGTACGTTTTGCGACAAAATAATATTAGAAACCTTTTTCCTCATTATTGTGTAACCTTGTATTCAAGGGATCTCACCTCTCTTCAACAGAGGCGTTTGGAATAGTGTGTAACTGTTACTTTGATAGATATGTTACTCATACGCTGCTGAAAAGGCAAAAGGTCCCAGCATTGATTTGAATGTATTCAGCTTCACATGCCTCTTGAGAAAAAAGTAAACACGAGTCTTACATATCAGCACATTAGTCCATCTAAACCGTGCAGGATACATAATGTGAACAGATGTATCTACTCATCATCTTCGAACCATTTTCACTCTACATCCCTAAGCAAATTCATCATCAGGTGCACATATAACATTTGTTTATGTTATCAGAATGACTATTTATCGTAACATCCCTTTTCGGCCATGTCATAACTAGATGTCATTCAACACAATCTATATTTCGACAGCGGACAGTCCATGGTATTATATTCTATAGATATAGAATCTTAGGAAGCTATCATGTATAGAAACTGTTGTCATCGTACTGTGGAGTGATTGGTTGATCAAATACAATCTAAAAGGCAAGGACAACAAGAGTATACAATTACTGTATATAAACATTTTATTATTCACATGCATATAGGAAGGCACGTGTCGGAGACCTGTGACTCCCTTTACGACATAAATGGTTCATTTTGTATCATATATTGATACGAGTTTTAGCATGTAGTGAAGCCTGATGGTGTTATCAATATTTTTGGTTGCATTTTGGAAGCCCCGAGCAAAAACGCAACATAAAAAACGAATCGCCAAAACGCACCATTTCAATGAATATGTAGGTATCATGCACCCATTTCTCGCGAAACCGAAAATGCACGAACTGTCACGAACTGTTGTGGGTAACAAATTGTGGCCGATTCTTGGACCTACCACTCCTTGGTCAACAATGCCACGCCTAACTCAAATTCAGAGAAACCAGGCTATCGGACGTTTGGAATCTGTCCAAGATGTTGCCCGTCATTCCAACGTTAACATAACCACAATTTACCGTCTCCTGCATTGATACTATGCTACACAGAGCACAGATGACCTTCCTCGGAGCGGTCGTCCTAGGGTCACCACACCTCGACAAGATCGGCAGATTATCCGTTAACACCAGCGACATCCGTTCCTAACTGCAAGTGAAAGTGCTCGACAGACCTTAGTAACACATAATCGACACATTAGCCGGGACACTGTGATCCGACGTCTCCGTTCTAACAACCTCAGATGTCTCCGACCAGCACGTCGTCCTGTTCTCCAACCACGGCATCGACAAGCACGACTTCAGTGGGCACAGGGTCATCGCAATTGGCGTCATCGTGAGTGGAGGCGTGTCATCTTCTCTGATGAAAGTCGCTTTTGTGTCTCCCATGCAGACACGGCGTCAATGCTCAGTGGTATATCGACCAAGTGATCCGACCCCACGTTGTTCCATTTTTTGCACAACATCAACAACACATTTTCCATCAGGACAACGCTCGTCCCCATGTTACCAGAGCTACCATGGCCTTTCTGCAACAACACAACATCCGTTTTCTACCGCGGCCAGCCTTCGGCCCTGATCTGAACCCCATCGAACACTTTTGGGATGAGGTTCAAAGGCGTCTACACATCGTGCACCCAGTCCCTACAACTGCCGATGAACTACGCACAGCTGCTCTGGCTGAAATTGATAGCTTCTCAGAAATGAAAGACTAAGGTGTTACTTTTGTCAAACACTTCACAGCCCGTAAAAACAATGTAATATCTTGACGTTCAGTTACTCTTCAGTCGACGCAGTCGAAAGTAAGTGCATTATCATACCTGGTTCAACTAGCATTGGTTTCAGATGGAACAGGGGCGTTTATCTCGTCTCTCAGTTATCGCTTATGTTTTAAAGCTAACATCATTACGAAACCTGGTAAGGGAGTAAATACACAATATTAATGAATGAATACACAATGCCATTTAGAAAGTGGTCAGATGTCACAAATGTTATATTTGGGATAACACTTTCTTAGTAAAGTACAGATTCTAGTACTTTTTTGGGGTTGAGTCCCGTCCGGGATTCGAACCCACACTTGCCAGAGTGAGGCACCTAATCGCCAGCGCACAAAGTCAGCGATCTAACCCACTCAGCCACCGAGGCTTCCACAAAAATGAAAGTCCGACAACTGGTAGTCTAGATAACGTACCTTGAGCACCCCTCTGACAAGGGTAAATTGGCACGGCTCCAATGGCCGAAAGCTATGAATAGACAATGCCATTTAGAAAGTGGTCAAATGTAACAAATGTTATATTTGGGATAACACTTTCTTAGTAAAGTACAGATTCTAGTACTTTTTGGGGTTGAGTCCCGGTTATCTGAGAGACGAGATAAACGCCCCTGAACGTCAAGATATTACATTGTTTTTACGGGCTGTGAAGTGTTTGACAAAAGTAACACCTTGGTCTTTCATTTCTGAGAAGATATCAATTTCAGCCATGTCAGCAAACAATCGATCTTGGTCCCTCACAATTCCTTTACTAAGAAAGTGTTATCCCAAATATAACATAAATGAAAGTCAACAGATATCATTTGTCAAGGCACTTGGTACTGTTTTTCCCGTTCTGTGACACAACTTTCAGTGTTTGAATTGTCTGACTTCAGAAACAACTTTCGTACTGAAAGACCTTTGTTCCATCTCAGATTGAAAACAAAATTGTTGGCACTTTCATTGGTTTGGACCATGTTAATTCATGTTTCAGAAAATACTTCCACATTTATTTAGAACTTTATAACGGAATTGTCATGATTTTGACTTGGTTCGTAACAAGGTGTCGAATACTTCTGATTTGGATTATGTGTGTTGCGGATTCGGAAAATAGGGGCTGTCTATGCCAGAGGGGAACGGGCTGACTAACTTGAAAGGGGAAAGGGCTGACTAACTTGAAAGGAGAAAGTGTTATGGCTGTAGCTAACTTTGTAACTTAGTAATTAGTAGTTCCTGTTTGGATTATGTCACTTCCGGTATCGAAATAAGGGTTGCCTGCCCAAGACTTTTCAACTGAAAGTTGCTCAATTTATAGCAAATCTTACATTTCTGACTTTAAGTATATCACTCGATGTGCACAATAATGGACTTTCAAACTATATTGTTCTATTTCACACTACATCCTCTGTCGATGATGTAAAGACGCTAAGTGTTAAAGGGTGTTTTCCCCATATTTTACTGCCGCTTCCACTTTGTGTCTAAAGAAGAAGCAGTAAAATCCGTTAAACATACCAATCACTGCCTAACATCCACAGAGGAACAGGTGTAAGTCAAACAGAAACCTTTGTAGCTTTTTATTTTGAATCTTCATTACTGTGGCACTACCAGGCGAAATTGATCAGCATCTACAGTCCGTTTGACTCCAAATGAGAACGATGAATTGCAAAATAACTCGAAATCCAGAAAAGCGTATGAAACATCATTTACAGTACTTGACCATGAATACCCAGTACCAAACAAAATCTTAATTTTGTTTATTTTAAGACCAATGACGGATGAAGTTCTTTAAGAAACTATCATGTAATTTTGTATAGAAATGTGTACATGACACGTAGGGGGGACAAACCGTGGAAGGCACAGCGCAAGCACGCATGCACTGCACGTTCTGTGGTAGGGGAAATGACAGAGCGTTAGAGGGGCCGTCTCATGATAATTTCAGTCGCAATCTGACTCGCTCATGCCATAGATCTCGTCGGCGGAACTGCTGGTGCCTGAACCGACTGCCAAGATTATAGGTTGGACTGTTGCTTGCCGTAGTCCATTTCGTGACCAATAACGTGGCTCTGTCTCGTCAACGACTGTGGCCACACAACGCCTCCATGTTTCTACTATTACCCGACCAAGGGATTCCTTTACGAGTTGATCAACGTCTCGTAATTTAAGCGTTGTGTTCGATCGTCCAACGTCACCCTTGACGATGCCCCATACCAACTCGATTGGATTCAGGTCGCAGTGATAAGGTGGCAGTCGTAAGACAGCGTGACCCTGACCCTTGATGTAACTGTCAACTTTATACACGGGGTCAGGTTTCATAGTTTTGATGATTTCATAGAGCTGTGGTTTCGCAGCTCGAGAAGGAAAGGTAATGTTCCTCCGTTGCAGGCACTCGTGAAGAGCAACCTCCTCGTGGTGAGTGCTGGGTAGCGCTAATAGCTCTTCCCCCGTGTGGAACCGGGGTAGAATATTTCCACAGCACCCCATTGCTGGTCGTAAGAGGCGACCAAAGTGGGCAGCCCGTTTGCCGTGGGTTGCGTCCCTGTGTCGGCGGAGGACGGGAGTCTGGTAGTTGAGGGCACTGGTTCCTGGAACTGTGTTCCTTTGCCCAACACACTACTTCGACCCTTACTTCGCCTAGACGGGTGGTAAGATGGGCCCGGTCTTATCAATCGGCTGGTCATGCCAGGCCCTGTGCGTAATATTGTATATGCACTCCTGTGTTGTATTATAATGTATATTTTGGACTTGGCCAAGCATACTTTGTATGAATTACCAATTTTTGATGGAATAAATTGCCTAGAGTCTTACGCCAGAAGGCGGTGGCTCATGGGCCAATCTGGTACTTTCGACCTCTGAGTTCTGTATGTCTTCAATTTCTTGCCATGGGCCGAACCAGCCTGACATTTTATTTGTAAGACAAATACAGCTATTCATGTTGTTCTTACTGGAGTATACCACCTCTGTATCCCTGATGTTTGCATGTTGGAGATCCGGTGCAGGAAAACATCGCTCTTTGTAGCACTCCATGGTGGGTGGGGAGCAGGGGTGCTGAATAATTTACTTTCACCATGGCAACCAATCACTCTGGTTCAAACCGCAACGAAAAGAAAAGACG